AAAGCATAAGAGATTATTATAAAAGTAATAAAGGTTCTTTTTGACGTGTTGGCAAAAAAAAAAAAAAAAAAAAAAAGAAGAACTGTAGTCACTGTCCACTCTCTCTGCTGCTCTCCCCTCTCCCGCCCACTTCCACCCAGAGCCATCTTCAGAACATACCAGAATCGAACTACTGCTACCACCTCGTTCCAAGCTACCTCTCTCTAACCTGGATTATCTCCCACTGGCCCCCTTACTTATACCTCTGACCCCCACTAATCTTTCCTCCATCTAAAACAAAGATGCTATTTCTCTCTTTTCCAAACCCTCTGGTGCCCTCTCGGGTCACTTAAAAACCAAAGCCTTTACACTGGCCCCCAAACCCTCTGTATTGCTATTTCAATTTTGATACAACACCAACACTTCAAACCACAAAATCTGAGCTAGAAAGGAAAAAACAGGTCAAACATTTAGTCTAACCACATCATTTTACAGTGTGAGAACTGAAGTCACAGAGGCCAGCTGATGTGATTTTCTAGCAGTGAAATAGCAAGCTAGAGGATGAGGGACATTGACATCTGCATTTTCCCAGTTTCCAGGCCCATGGCCTTTCTATCCTACTGCTTTTGGGATCTTCTCCTTCTCAAGAAGTTTACAAAGAGAGAAAAGAAAAGAAAAAGAGATGAAAAAGTACTTTAGTATTAATAGTTCCATCAAGCATATTTTCTAGACTTGTAAACAAGAATCTCTGATAAAAAACACAGTAAAAAAACCCACCAAATTAGATAAATTGAAAGATAAATAATATTAGTGAACTTTCTACCTTATTCCTAATTTTATACAGACAAACCAAATATAAATATTTTGACAAAGGGGATTTTTGTTGGGATATAGGCCTCTAAGTCTGGATAACAGCAATATTATTTGTTGCAAAGCTCTTAAGCTATTCATATTGAGTAGTGTCTAGGAAGTTTTTAAGGCAACCAAAACTCTTCTAAAATGCCTGTTAAAACTTGGCATCAATAATTAGTCCCAACAAATGGCTTCAGAATCAAAACATTAAAGTCAGAGTGAAGTAGCACAAGTATTCTCAAGGGAACATACTATTTAATGGGCAAATCAGGCACTCAGTATCAAAGATGTTAATATTTTACCAGGAAGTTCCCTAGTTGAAGTAGATTTTTGAAAATATAAGGATGATGTATTTCTTCTCTAATAAAAAAATTCAGAGTGAAAGTACATGAAGAATTATCATGGAGGCCAGGCACAGTGGCTCATACCTATACTCTCAGCACTTTGGGAGGCCAAGGCAGGATGACTGCTTGAGGCTAGGAGTTCAAGACCAGACTGGGCACCATAGTGAGCCCGTTTCTATAAAAAAATAAAAAAAGAATTGCCAGGCACAGTGGTGCACACCTGTAGTCCCAGCTGCTTGGGAGGCTGAGGCAGGAGGATTGCTTGAGCTTAGGAGTTTGAGGCTGCAGTGAGCTCTGCTCATGCCACTGTACTCCAGCCTTGGCAACAAAGCAAGACATTATCTCAAGAATAAATAAATAAACAGGCCAGCCTCGGTGGCTCACGCCTGTAATCCTAGCACTCTGGGAGGCCGAGGCCGGCGGATTGTTGGAGCTCAGGAGTTCGAGACCAGCCTGAGCAAGAGCGAGACCCCGTCTCTACTAAAAATACAAAGAAATTAATCGGACAACAAAAAACATATAGAAAAAATTAGCCGGGCATGGTGGCACATGCCTGTAGTCCCAACTACTCGGGAGGCGGAGGCAGAAGGATTGCTTGAGCCCAGGAGTTTGAGGTTGCTGTGAGCTAGGCTGACGCCACGGCACTCTAGCCTGGGCAACACAGTGAGACTCTGTCTCAAAAAAAAAAAAAAAAAAGAATAAATAAATAAACAAAATCATGGAAAGAATGAAAATTAATCCATTAAGATTCATTTCCAACTTATTGTTGGTATTTCTTCTATACAACTGAGAAAACAGGGTAACTTAAAACTATAGTCACCCATTTGGCTTATCTTTAAGAAAACTCTGCTGCCTCAAAATAAGATCTAGTAGAGACATAAATTACTAGGCTTCAAGGATGACTCAAAAAGCAGAAATTGTACAATAATTTATACAAGAGCATAACTCAAACCCGGAAATCTATATAAATGTAGAGATTAAGACAAAAAAATACTAAAACACATCTGGAGTGCTACTTGTATGACTATTCTATGTTTTATAAATCTCTTAAAAACTGGTCATATTTGACTGTGCTTAATCCAATATTTACCAAATAATAAAATGACTAACACTATCCTTTCACTCATTCATCCCAACAACTACAACTGCATCTCATGATTTGCTCTTTAAAACCCCCCAAAAAAACAACTACCAAGCTGAAGAACAGACTCACAATAAAAAGTAATTAGAGAATTTAGACAGCATGTTTTGTTTTGTCCAGGATAAAAATAAAATCCACATTCACATGGCACATTGATTTTTTTTCAAAATTCAGTAGACAGTAAAATGCCTATAGAATATACAAAACAGCAAAAGCTTTATTGAGTACAACAGTTATTTTTGTTTATATAAGTAAAGAAATAAGGCAGAGAACAGTTAAATGCTTTGTCCAGAATCACAGAGAGTCAATATGGCCTAGAACTTAAGGGATAGATTCTTGTGTAGCTGTCATTTAATGAGGCTTAGCAAGAAATAAAACTAGCTACTAGTAGTTGGGTACTTCCCATTTAGCTTAGGATATGAATTCTAGTTTCAAGGCACTTAGAAAGAGTGTACCTTTTTAAAAGGCAAGATGGTTTTCTAAGATAGCACAACAGATCTTCCTAATGAAGGGGTCCTTCTTTCCCTTTAAGAAGTTGAGAAGAAACAAAAAATTTTAAAAAAGAAAGAACTACTCTATCTCATACGCTGCAGAAGATGAACTTCCAGCTCCAAAGTATGGGTTTTGTTTTTGTTTTTTGTTTAATTTTGTTTTTAATCTCATAAGGGTAGGAGCCTAAGTTGAAGCCTACACAAGTTTTCAGCCACACAAAATCCGCAGACCCAGGAAGGACAGGTACCAGCAATGGGGCTGATTGTGGCTAACTCATACCACTGGTCGACTCAGAGCCCAAACAAGAGGGGCAGTGGGGTGGAGTCAAAAAGTGAGAAGAAAACATGTGTAAGAAGGAAGGGTTAAAAAGGATAGAAGAAAGTATTGGAGAAGAGTAAATGAAGAGATCCAAAAACCAGGCGTAAAGAGAAAATGCCAGCAAAAATTGTATTTGGTGTAAACAGGCTGCTAATTCCTGGCAGTGTAATTCAGAGCAGCGCCTTTATCAGCACTGTGGGCAGTTTCTCTGAGTCAATGAGTGAGTTCACTTGGAAGCTTTCCATAAGGGCACATACCAGTTCTTGTTCCACTTATGTGCAAACTCCACGAGCAGGAAGAGCTGGATGCCTATAAAGAGGAAGCCTCCAACGGCTCCCATGTAGCGCCAGGCTGCAAAAGACCATCGAAACAACAAAGAGGTGAACTTTCCATGTGATTTGCTCAAAAGAGAATAAGCACAGCTAATTTTTTACCGAATGCTCATTGTACCTGTTAACACATTTAATTCCCACATAGCCAAATAAGGTAGGTATTAGTGTTATACTCACTTTACAGATGAGAAAAACTGAGAGTCTATGTAAATTGAAAAAAATCTCATAGCCAGGAAAAGGCATAGTTGGGATTTGAACACAGGCAGTCTGGCTCCAGAGTATCCAAGCTTAACCTCCATGCTACAATTTTCAGATATCCTAACAGATGCGGTAATTAATAAAATCCACAATGATCCACAACTTACAGGCAAAAACACATATTGCCAAAAAAATCAAAGGTTCTAATTTTATTGGGTTAAAATATCATCAACGTCCAGGGAGGAAATGAGGCTCAGACTAGGGGGACAAGAACTCAGGTCTACTCCTGGCTCTGCCACAAAGGAGCTGTAACCTTGGATGAACCATGTCACATGGGTGACAGCTTGTCTACGAAAATGACTGAGCCGGACTAGAGGACTTCCAAGTCTCTACTTAGTCTAAATATATTCTAATACATAAAAGTATCTCTATGGAGAATTAAGAAACTAGTTAATGGCATTTTAGGTGAAAGCAAGACTTGGATACAACATCATTAAGGAGTATATGGAAAAACTAGCTAGACCCTGATATGTAACTAAGTGAGGGACTAACACAATCTAAATGTTTTTAATACCCTAATTAGGAAAATGAACCCATTCAAGAGTGTTTCGAACCACTGAAACTCAGGCTTTTGACCCCAGCTAATATGAAGAAGGGCCCCCTGTTTCAGCTATGATTAAAGGCTTCATATTAACAAACTTTGGTAGGCTCTATGAATAAGGAATATAATTCAATGTTTCATAGCTTCATACTTTTTTTATCCCATTATAGCTGCCCAGTAGATTTTTAGTTGCTAAAAAGCCCTATGCTGCCGGTTGCTGGGTTTTCTGCAGTGCTCAGAAAGAACAAAGTCTCCTAGGCTGGTAGGGTCATGCTGATATGCCAAACTGGTTTTCAAACAAATTTTAAGTGCTTCATTTTCCCTTCAGGCTAATAACCTTAAAATTAAAATTCTAGTTCTTCAGCGAGCAGAATAACAAAGATCCTCTTACATCCTCCTGGAAGGTCCCAAGAATGGGGTGAGGAAAAGGGGCAGAGGATAGGGGGTGGAGAGGATAAAGTGTGGGCAGGAATTTTTTTTAAGCCACAGAAAAATCCGTAATACAAGATGCCAAAGGTACCCTGGACTATGTCTTTGAACAATTTCACAAAATGGGTGTACAAAATAAACAAGTACCCAAAATACCCCATTAGTACCGTGCAGAAAGGTCTCCTGATCTGGAATGAAGAAAGCTCCAGAGCACAGGGCCCCCAACAGCAGAAGTTTAAAGAACCAAAAGCTGGAAAAGTAAAAAAAAAAAAAAAAAAGAGGAAATGTATTTAAACGATATTCAAGGAAGGACATAATACTTCTTAGAAAGTAAGCAAGTCAATCCCTGATTCTGCCATAGAAAATATTCTCTCCAAACTGAAGGGGAGGAATTGAAGGGAGGGACTGAAGAATGCCTTTCCTTTAATTCAACAGACTTGGGACAGCCTCTGATGGTGCAAAACACGATCTCACTGCAGGCGAGGCAATAACCTGTGGGGAGGTCTTGATACCTGCCCCCACTAAATTTCTCCTCAGGTACCAGGTGTTACAAACAGGATTCTAGCTCTTTGGCAACTGTGTGGTGACAAGTTCCGCCTTCTCCAAAATCAATAATTTCAACTAGAGAAGAGCAGTTAGAGGGTCTGATGAGCAGGAAGGATCCTGGAATACTGGACTGAAGATAATGAAAGGAGAAAGCTACCCCACGAACACCGCGAGACTTACCCATTGTGAATATGAGCTCTACAACTTTTGCTGTTGTCGATTTTCAAGGTCAGTAGACAGAAGATGAAGAAGAAACAGGCCATTCCAAAACAGACTCTGTACACTGCAGAATACCCCACCAGCTTCTCGCAGGTGTCTCCAGCTTTAATGCCTTTACACATATCTTCGAAAAAAGGAATCTGAGGAGAAAGAGTTTAGAAAAGTCATGTGTTAAAACTGGGTGAAAGGGAGGCTGCCATGGAGTGTTCACTCAGCCTGCAACTCCAGGCCCACTGTGGAAATGGATCATGTGCACAAAGGAAAAGACTGAGGAGGAAAATCTACCCTCTAAAGACTTTTTCTTAATTTTCTCTGAATCTTTTGTAAAGATACAGTGCTTACAAAGTACCAGTCAGCCTTTACTTGCCCCAGTGATCTCTGAAATTCAGCAGAATTTTCTAAAATTACAATTGTAATATGTGGGCATATTTTCTTGAAGTGTGTAAATATACAGAATAAAAAATGAGACTTGCTTCACTATCACCCCAAAATGTTATTTCCCTTCTCTGAAGAGTTAACCATTTGGTGGGTAGGGTATTTTTATTAATTCACATATATAAATGTGTGTGTATACATATACACAACACATACACGCGCACATATCGTACTGTATACGTAGTAGGTATATTCAAACAGCTTTTTAAAATAAGATTGTATGTAAAGTTCTGCAATGGTTTTTGCCAATTAATAAGCCATGGAGATCTTTCCCTATTAATACACAAAACCCTACCTCATTCTTTTTAACCACTGTACAATATTTTGTAGTAAAGCTAGATCAAAATTGATAACCTTTCCCACATTGATCTTATATTTTGTTCAGGTGGGGTTTTTGTTTTATTTTACTTTGTATATTTGCTTTTTGCTATCACAAACACTGATTCAATAAGCACGCTGTGCAACCTCATTGTACATCTGCCACTGTTTACGTGGGACAGACTCCTGAGCTAGAAATGGAATTAGTGGCTCAAGTAGTACAGGTTGAATATCCCTGATCTGAAATGCTGGAGGCCAGAGTGTTTCAGACTTGGGTTTTTTTCAGATTTTGGAATATTTGCATTATATTACCGGTTGAGCATCCCTAATCAGAATATCCAAAATCCCAATGCTCCAATGAGCATTTCCTTTGAGCATCATGTTGGTGCTAAAAAATTTTCAAATTTTGGAGCTCTCTGGATTTTAGATTTCAGATTAGGGATACCCAACCCAAATTTAAAAATGTATCTACATTTTTAAATTTCAACAGGTAAAGTCAAATCACATTTTCAAAGGCTATACCAATTTATATCCCACCAATAATACCTGAGATTAGTCATTTTCCCAACCTGGGCTTCTAATTTAAAGGCAAAAACCCAATATCTTGTTTTAATGTACACCTTTCTAATTACTAGTGAGGCTCAATATCTTTCCTTAAGTCTATGGCCATCTGTATTTTTCTCTAAATTGACTGCTAATTGGGTTTTTTCCTTGATCCACTATAGCTTTTTATTTATTGGTCTTAATCTTCTAATAAATGTTGATAATAATGTCATAAAATAAGGATTTAGTCAGTGGTGGAAAAAAAACTTGCTTTTTATCAACATCAAAGTTAAATACTTTTTGGACTAGAAAATAAGTTAAATCACAAATATTAATAGCTGTTATTCACAAGAAAAAGATATCGCAGAAAAAAATGACACAAAACTAAAGGTAAAATTGAAGTGTGATAAAGAAGAGACTTTTGTTTCTTCTCTAGAAAAGATCTTAAAGAAATAATAATAACTGAGGCTGTCAGGATTTCCATAACTAAATGTCAACCCAAATAAGAGACTGGGGCAAGAATCTCAATCAATTGAGGTTTATTGAGCCAGAGGTTGAGGTCGCACTCAGGAAAACATAAGTCACAGACTTGTCCGTGGCCTGTAGTGGCCTGTCTTCTGAGAGATGTTTCCGGAGGCTCAGTATTTATACATTTCTTTAAAGAGAAGGCATGTAGGAAAAGGGGAGTAGGCTAGTTACACATAAGATAAGCCAAACACTCCAAAGGGGAGTAAAGGAAGAGGTCACTATGTAAACATCTCAGGGTAGGTGGAGAAATGGTTGACCTCATCTTGTCTTTGTTCTGCACCTGGGAAGATAAGCTTGCCATTAACATTATCAATGTGAAAGTTAACAAATTTTAGTCCTGGACAAGGAGTTAGGCTGCAGACCTAAAGATACAGTTGGTATGTCCTTATTTATGGGAGGCTGCACTTCTTGAAAGGGATAGGGGCCAGCGAAGAATTTACTTATGAGCGATTTGTGAGGGCAGTCATCCTGAGACCCATGAGGCCTTTTGCCTGTTGTAGGGCTCTGGCTAATGTATAGCACTTTGAGGAGAGGTTGGGAAGTAACAGCTATTTATTGGTTAAAAGGACAGCAGTGTCAGATTGAGTGTCCGACTCAATCTCCGACTCAATTTTCCCTTTGGCACAATGAGTTTGAATGATCCTGATATTTTTTATTTTCCTTCATAGAAGAATAAAAGATTGCCACAAACAAAAGGAAGACTAAATATAATTAGAATTCAGCTTCCTCTAGTCATTACTACATCTGCATATGAAACGTGTTTTTCCAAACATTCCAAATAAGTGACTCAGACAAAAATGCATCATTTCTGAGCCCCTATTAGTGTAGCTCCATTTTCACAAACAGATGTGAAAACTTTGTGAAGAAATGTCCAACATTTTGTTTTCAACAACTTCCCAAAACTGCAGAATTTTTTTTAAATCAGAGCAAGATATAATGGCGTATAGAGAGATGTTATTGTACTTATTTGACTGGGCTACCAAACTAACACACGTACAGGGTTGCCAGATAAAATATAGAATGTCTGCCTAAATTCAAATGTCAAATAAAAAAACAAGTAATTTCTTAGTATAAGTGTTTCCCATATAATATTTGGGGGGCATACTTAGACTGAATATCACATGGGACATACTTATACTAAAAAAAGTATTGTTTGGCAAAAGGTGAAACTTAAGAGAAGGTACTGGGGCTCAGGACACACCACCCCAAAATATAACTGTAGGAGACCAGAATAAAGTATATTTTGGTATATTTTGAGTAGCTCTGAAAGCTCTCCTTTTATATAAAAGAAATTTACATCTATAAAAGAATTCTACATTAATAAAGTTGCTGTATCAGGAAGAGGGTTGCTCCCCAGGAGCTAACTGTTATTACACTGAGAGACTTTATCTGCGTAATAAGACAACCTTATTCCCCATACATTTCCTCCTGTCACTCTCCCACGACATGGGTCAACACCCCCCCCAGCCCCTCCCCAGAGGCCCCAAGCCTCTCTTCCTTTCGGTAGCTCAGGACACTATATAAGCTTCAATCGTCTCACATTTTGTGGGACTCCTGTGATTCATACATAGTTAAAAGTGGTTTTCCTCCTATTAATTGGTCTTATGTCAATTTAAGGAAGGTAAACCAGTGCAGGGAAACAAATTCTATAGGTAGAACCCACAGTTGGCAGGACGGGATGGATGACAAGAATAAAGTGAAGGATGGGGGAGGGTTCTTTTCTTTTTTTTAAGGCACTGCTTTTTGGGATGCAGGGGGAGTACAGCAGGCAGGGGACAAAGAGCAGGAGTTTATTTTTTAACACACAGAATTTGGGGCACCCCATGGCATCTCTGTGGGGCAACCCAGTGAGATCATCTGGTCTGGAAAGTGCTTCAGAGAGTAATCAGGGCTGGACACAGTGCGACAGTCAGCACCCACAGGCAGGTAGCGAGAAGTTGCACAAGTGCTTTCTGAAGGAATCTGAATTTTTAGCTGTGTTTAACGTGAGTGAGCAACCAGCATGGTTAAAATCTTCAGGTATTGAAGTAATGGAGGAGACACACACAAAATGAACATCTCAGATATCCTAGCCCTAAACAAAAGTTAACCTGTATGAGTAGTACTGGTGACAAGGAGGTAATATTGCTTGAAATCTGTAAAAGCAATATTCATGAAGGAGAACCCACACAACCTCATTCACTGGGCTGTTTTACTTCTGTGGAATTTATTGCTCTATAATAATCATTAAATTCTTTTCTTCTTCTCTTCTATCTTCTACTCTCAGCAACACCCATTCCTGAACCCGCCCCTCACCATAACGCTGCACATTGTCACCTCTTTCATCTACACCAGCCCCTTTTCATCTTTAGACTCCTCTCTATCTCCCTGCCCCAAACCCACTTCACTCCTTTTCTTCTCCCTCTAAAACCCATTTCGAGGAGGATGCTAATAGCAGCAGGTCCGAGATGCTATGCCACCATGCCCAACAAATCCCCTCCCTTGTTTACTCCAGGCCATGGGGAATGTGCCCAGGGCCCCTCCGCTCTTCAAAGGGTGAATATGCGGCACTGCAGGTTTCCTTTTTTTTTTTCTTTTTTATGGCCCAGAATATTCCAGCAAGTACGTGGCACCGCAGGTTTCATCAAAATAAAAGTAGGCAAACAACCCCCTAGGTCCAAATACTAACCAAGACCTCCTTTATGCTCTGTAGGTGACTTAGCACTTTTAGCCTTCAATAGTAAGTGGTGAGTATTTTGGGCAAAGAACCTCCAAGTTGAACAAGCTGGCAGTATTTTAGCAAGGGAAATTTGCTCTGATTAAATATTTGCTATTCCAAACTCCATCCCAGTTTTGGAAAAAGAAAACACACATCACATACAGAGCCCGCACCACAGGGCAAAGGGGCTGTGCCCGTTAAGGGTGTTACCTCTTAAGTCTGGCTCTGGGCATCCAAGGACACAGCACGTAAGCTGGGCTCACACACTGCGTCTGTTATTTCTGTACAGACCTGAAAGCAGGAGGTTTCCTTCCAATCCTCAAAGCCGCAAATTATCGAGCAAGAATAAATAGTTCATGCAGACTTTCAATCCTAACTCCATTAAGTTACACACACACACACACACACACACGCACACACACACACACACACACACACACACACACACACACTCACCGTGAGCCTCAACAGCCCCACCTGTAAAATGAAATAGTACCTCCACCCATCTCATTCAGCTGCCCTGAGAATTACATCAGATAAGCTTGTGAAGTGCTTACCACAGTTGCTTACCCATAGCAGTCACTAGGTTAACTTCCTTAATTCTAAAGCACTACCCAC